CTGCTGAAATGTGGAGTTCTACAATGAACAGGAATATGACTTTTTTTCTAATTAATCGTATGTAAAATAGTTCAGAAAGCTAAGTTTGTTTGAAAAAATGCAATCCAGTTATTTTTTTTTTTTAAAGATTTTGACAATGAAGGTAGAAGGCATTTCTAAATACCCTAAGGGAATTATAAAACGTTCAGATGTGGAAACATTTCTTTTGAAGAAGAGCAGATTTCCTAAGATATATATGTCACAATACTTTAAGCTTCTGGAAAAGTTCCAAATTGCATTACCATTAGGAGAAGATCAACTCCTTATTCCAAGCAGGTAAACAAAGAGCTTAAACCACATATGTGCTATGAAAAAATATAAAGATTAGAAACTGATATTCCTGGGTATTCTGATATTTTTAGGTACTTCATGCCAAAGCAAATTGTCACAAATAATCAAGATTTTGCTTTGTTACCAGGGGTCCGTGCTTTCCATTCACTGTAGAAAAACACAGGTTTTTTCCTTTTAAGGAGAAAAGCACAGACTTTCTCCTTAAATCACAGATTTTCTCTTTTAAAGGAGAAAAATGTGGGAAATGGCAAGTTTCCTCCTGCAGCCTGGCAGAGTTCCAGCCTGCAAGAGGCAGCTTAGAGCTACAAGGAGTGGGAGGAGGGCAGTTGCATGCACACATGCACATAGCAGCTAGGCAGCATGGAGAGCAGTTCCCTGCAGGTAAGTGGCGGGGGGGGGAGGGCAGACTAAATCCCCCACAGTGAGGGAGGGAGGGAGTGGGCAGGACTGGGGCTTGGAGTGCTGCCCAAATGGGCGGGGGGGCAGGGGCCGGAATGCATGGCCACGAGGCCCGGTTAAGGAAGCAGGGCAAAGCAGTATATTAGGGGCCATGAGCAGATTATCAGGGGCCAGCAATGGGGCTGGTCCGCCACTGTTATCTAAGGTTACCATATTTCCAGGTCCAAAAAAAGGGACACCTGTCACATGGGGCGGGGGGGCAGTGACACGCTGGTGCCCTGCCCCTGCCTATTCTGTTGCTTCTTACTGCGAAGCCACAGAGCCCCCAGCCCTGCTGCTGCCCTTCACTCCCTTTGCATACACCCCAGCCCTGCCAATACCCCTCACTTCCAAACTGCAGTACCCTGCCCACCTGGGCCATGATTTCATAGATTTTGTAGACATTAGGGCTGGAGGGACCTTGGAAGATCATAAAGTCCAGCCCCCTGCCCCAGGGGTAGGAAGTCAGCTGGGGTCAAATGATCCCAGCAAGATAAACATCCAAATATTTTTTAAAAGAGTCCAGAGTTGGGATTTGCACCACCTCTGCAGGGAGTCAATTCCAGGCCTTGCGGGGCTTGGACGATAACCAGGGCAGGTCAAGGACCAAAAGACTTCATCTCAGAGTCCTTTATACCAGAGTTTGTCAGCTTATTGCCCCTCACTCCTGATCTGCAGCACCCCCCACCCCCATCCCTGCTGGTGCCCCTCACTCCTGACCCACAGCCCCCGGTGCTGCCAGTGCCCCCCGCACTCCCAAACCACAGCCTCCTGCCCCCACCAGCCCTGCCAGAGGGGCCCCAGCTGTCCCTGTCCTGACCAGCCAGATCCGCACAGTGGCTCTGATTCATGCAGGAATCAGCAGAGTGTGTCGGGCCCCAGCGAGAGCTGAAGGGAAGAGGAGGAGTAGCTTGTGGCACCTCCAGCCCTGGGATGGGGCTGCTGCACTGGGCCAGGCAGCCTGGCCATGGCCCCCCTCCCCCCTTCTTCCTCCTCTCCCCCGGGCAGCATCTCCTGGCCACTCATCCTCTGCGAGCACAGAGCACAGGCACTAGCCTCTGTGCTGCCTGATGACCGCAGAGTTTCCTGTTGCCCTCAGAGGGCCCTCACCCCCTGCTCCTTTCCCTTGCTGCCGCCCCACCCCCCACTGCCCTGACCAAGTGTATGGGATTTAGCTTGGGTGCAGGGGGAGGGCGATCAGAGGCAACAGGGAGCACCACATGGGTCTGCAAGCACCTCTGCAGCTGCAGGCATGTACATCTGCTCCCTGCCGCCTCCAATGACCCTTCTGCTGCTCCTACCAGAGGAGAAAAGTAAAATCCCAGACATTCAGGCAGATTTAAAAAACCTGCCCCGATGGATATCAGAGGGCTTCAAAAGAGGCACAGCCAGGAGGCTGTGGGTGGGAAGCAATGGGCACCAGCAGGGCTGGGGAGCTGTGAGTCAGAGGTGAGGGGCTACTGGCAGGGCCAGGGGGAACTGTAGCTAGGGAGAGAGGGCACCAGCATATCAGGGCTGCTCAACTCCACAAAGCAGCAGAGGGGACAGCTGCAGCTGGACCCATGTCCTGGTGAGCAAAGGGGGCAGGGGGAGCTCTGATTTTTCTATGATAAAAACATGAAAATCAAATGCCAAAATATATAGGATTTGAAATATATAGTATTTAGAATTTATTTTATTAAAATGATTAAGGCACTGGTAGGCTTGCAAATTGCTTTAAAAATAGTAAATATATCAATAAAACATTGTGTTCAACTGATACCGGTAAATATAGTGGCATTTCATTTCAATCACAGAAAAACAGATTTTGGGGGATTTCATCAGAGAATTTGGGATTTTTAGCAGACAATTTGCTATTTTTAAACAGAAAAAACCAGGATCCCTGTTTATTACAGTGCATTTCTTTACATAAATATGTTAAACTGACCTTGTGGAACAGACGTCAGCAAGGTTTTGAGCCCAGCCCAGCCCACACTGCCACTTCTCCCCTTGCCCAGCCATGGTGTGGTGCAGTGCATGCAAAGTCTTCTCCCTTCCCCCCTGCCCTGGCCACAACACTTGCAGGCCACTCTGTCTCCCTGCCTGAGCTGTGACATGCACAGACCTCCTCACGTGACAGCAGGACAAGGGAAGCCCCTGGATCTATGTAATTATTAAATTTGGAAAAAGTAACGTATGAAATATTGGAAGATATTTTTCCTGTTTCTTCCAGTTTGTCTGATCACAGACCTGTTATAGAGCTTCCCCACTGTGAAAACTCAGAAATCATCATTAGACTGTATGAGATGCCGTATTTTCCTATGGGATTCTGGTCAAGGTTGATCAACAGGTTGCTCGAAGTATCTCCTTACATGCTGTCAGGAAGAGGTACTGATATTTAATTTCAGAAGTAATAGTGTGTGAATTTACTTTGATCACCTTGTTTTACCTGTCTGAATTCCAGTCTTTTCCAGCCCTGCAGTTTTGCCTTTGATTTATTGCTGTCCATTTTAGGAATATAAGAAAAGAATGGCTATTTACAGATCTTAGGGATACCCTATGGCTCTGCTTAGGTTGACTCTGCAAGTGGAGCATAATTAGTCACTTGCTTTCTTGTACCTCCCCTTCTGTAGGCAAGATATAGAAGGAATACTTGCATTTAGGCAATACTCATGTTAGCTTCTGCAAAACTATCAGGAAAGAGTAAGGAGGAAGCAGGGCCACAGTCTTCTCATACTCCACATTTGCCAGCAGAGCTGGATGAGTACCAAAAAGGAAAGGACATTGTATTGAGTAATGCAGTTGCTGCTCTTTGCCATGACTCCAGATCTCCAGGAAATATTGTTTCTATTGTGACATGTCACGTGGATTTCCTGCTAAGACAGTATGCTTCCCCATAATTCTCAACGTAGGCTTATGGCTTTATGACAGAATTCAGCCCTTAATGGGAAAAGAACTGGATAGGTAACATATCCTCTGAGCCTCATTTTGGAGAATGTCTATACTTGGACACCCATTTCCTTTAAGGAGTTCCCCCACTGGGCTGCAGGTTGGCAGGTAGCCAGCTCCTTTCTCCCTTCCCCCCTTAAAAAGCTGGAGACATTTATCAGAGATGTTTTTCATTTTTTTCGTTCTCTTCCTGGTCTGGAGCAGCCCCCATTTTTAATAATGATAATTCACTTCACTTTTAAATGTTTATTTTTAAAAATGTGATTTGAAGAACATTTAGATACAATTAGATAAAGACTACCTTAGCATTAGCCTCTTTGCTAACATTCTTCAAATGGGACTTAAACCTCTCTGCTGTTTTAGCCCTTGGTCTCTGTCATGTGAGCACAGGCTTTCAGTTGCATCATATGAAATGCTGATTATGTAATGCATACAAATCTCGTCATGAAAAAATTAAGGATACCAGGCTTGCTTTATTTATTGCTTAAGACATTTTAGATTGAACCTATGGATTTTATACTGAACTTATGGATCTGTACTTAAAGACTTGTGCATTGTTTGCATTCATCACCTACTACATGACATATGAGTTGATTCTATATTTATATATATATTTAATATGCCTTACTGGAGTGATAAAAGACATTAAAAGTGTGGGGGGAACACTACACCAGGAAATAATGTAGTCGTTACTTTTGCTTATGTTATATAAACATGAATAACTATGTACATTTATAGGTAGATGCTTAGAATAACATGTTTTGCAGTAATTAGCACAATTTACACCATTCATATTAGAAGTCTAATTTTGATTCTTAAGTTTGTTTTTCCTAGAACGAGCTCTTCGTCCTAATAGAATGTACTGGAGACAAGGTATCTATCTGAATTGGTCTCCTGAAGCTTACTGTCTGGTGGAATCAGCAGTGTTTGACAACAATCCAGACAGCTTTTTGAAAATTACAGTTCCTTCTTGCAGAAAAGGTTAATTACTTCTAAGTCTGGTTTTGCTTTTGTTTAAATAAACCAGTGGTGCTCAACGTTTTTTCCCAGTGCGCTAGTGTTGGGATGGGGAAGGTGGGCACCATTTGGCCACACAGAAGGCGATGAGAGGCAGCCCAGTCTCAACCCAGCTGCTCAGGAGAGGGGAGTATGGCCTGGCCCCACAGTGGAAAGGGGGCATGGCTTGACACTGCAGTGGGAAGGGGGCATGGCCTGGCCCCTCAGTGGGGAGGACGGGGCATGGCTTGGCCCACAGGGGAAAGAGGACATGGCTCAGCCCTGTGGGGGGAAGGGGGAATAGCCCTGCAGTGCAGGGCTTAGGGTTTGGGAATTTGGTTGTGGGAGGGTGGCTGTATTAATGGCTACCCCTTCCCTGCTGCCAAATTTCCTGTCATGTGGGGAGTCCTATGGACAAGATGGCATGGCTTTATGGGCTGCATTTGGCCCAAAGCGCCGGAGGTTGAGCACCCCTGAATTAAAGCATGGTGCTTTGGTGTGCTTTTCTTTTACCATTCAGAATCTGCAGTATGTCTTTATGGGGATGGTTTAATCAGGGAGGATTCTGCTTTGAGCAGAGGTCTAGAATAGATGACTTCATGAGGTCCCTTCTAGCCCTGCTTTCCTATGATCCTAGAGTATAGGTATGATAGACCAAGGCTCTGATCACCTTTTCTGGCTTTCTGTAGGTTGTATCCTTTTGGGGCAAGTTGTGGATCACATAGATTCTCTTATGGAAGAGTGGTTTCCTGGCTTGCTGGACATAGATGTATGTGGAGAAGGGGAAACACTGTTGAAGAAATGGGCTTTGTACAGCTTTGAGGATGGTGAAGAGCACCAAAAAATACTACTCGATGATTTACTTAACAAAGCTGAAGAAGGTAATGTTTTATTTAAGCTATTTTGAGGTACCTGTATAAAGGTGTACACGTAATATCCACTGTCATAGTATTTAGGAATTTCATATTATTTACAAGGATGTAACTAAAATAAGCAATGCCATCTTCACAGTATGGTGCAATAGCCAGTACTTGTTTAGTTCTAGTGCCTTCTATACACTGAGACCAGATCAGATTGCGGATAATACTGTGTACTCTGGGGCACAGGCATGGCGAGCTCCTGGAGTGCGCCAGAATGCTGACCTCTGGGGAGCCAGAGCGGGGGCAGAGTCTTACCTTCCCCATCACTCTCTGCACTCTGACAGCTGTAGCAGAATAAGCACAGGCAGCTACAGATAAGAAGCAGGCTTAGCAGGAAAAACCAGAATGCCCCCTTTGCTCTCTGGGAGACTTTGCTATGGCACATACATCCCTGCACCTCCCAGCTGTTATCAGATTTGCCCATCACTTTGGGGTGCGCTCATTTATTAGGGATACATTTCTAGGGTTTTTGTAATTCTATCAATGTGCTGCTTGTGTACTGGTGTTTCTGTACGGAGCTATATGTCTCCCTTCTACAAATCCTCACCCCTAATGGAGCTATCTTGCAGGACTGTTTCAATGGGGCTGGGTTCCTCCTGTGCAGTCAGACACAAGCACACAAGTGAACAGAATACCTCTGAATCAGGCTGGGTGTCCAGCTGACACCCTCATGGGCCAGCATTCAGTTCATAAGGGTACATCTGAGCCAAACTAGGTCAATCGGCGTGTACAAGCTGATCCCCTTATGTGTTTCAAACTCAGCACGTCCCAATCTTGTGCCCTAACTGTCCTAGTAGTGGTAGCCTCTTGCTGAGCAGACCCCACAGTATTTCTGGGCTTCACAGGGATCTTTAGCTTAGGTAAAAGAAGCGTTGCTGCAGAGCAAGTGGGGAAGGAAAAGTAGAGAAGGAAAATTATACCCAGTTACTACCAGTTTGACTATAAAAGTTATTTATTGCTGAGTATATGAAATGTATAATGGTATTAGTAATAACAGACATGCAAAGGAAAACAATCAAAACAATTACAATACTACCTTGGTTTCACTAAGTATTTGGGGAAACTTAGCTCAAGCTTAACTAATACCATTCAGGTTCAGAAATATATGCCTAGAGAGAAAAAAGAGAGAGAGGGAGCTGGGGTCTCACCAGTCCAAAAGCACTCGGGTTCCAATGCTGACAGGTAAAGTTCTTAGCACAATCCTTGAAGGGAGATGATCTGTTTCTTCCAGCTTCTCAGGAACAATAGCGGATGGTGTCGGAGAGATTTTTTTTCTCTTGAAGCACACCATTTACTGCTTTTACAGCTTTTTATACCCTCAGTTTAGCTTCTTCAAAGCATTCTTTTAATTGTGTAAGCAGTTGTCTTTTCTATTAACAAGGGGTTATCTGTTTCAGAACATCTCAAGAAACTGATTAACAGCCAGGAAAAACATAAGTTTTTAAGGAGTAACCAGACACTCAGGAGCCATTCTTATGGATTGCAGATATACTTGATGGGATACCTCATTGTTTCTTCTCAGATAGTTTGCAGCATCAGGGTTTTGTATTTTTACCTGTTGTGAATAAGCCTCAGCTTAGCATGACTTTTCCATATCTTACTGTAGTCTTTTAACAGACTTAAGTGGATTATTGGAGTGTTCATAAACTGTGTGGGGAGGACTTCCACCAGTCATCCTGGGAAAAGTATAACAGCATTTGTGGTCAGGGCTCCAACGGGCTGGACGCTGTGATGAACCCTTTACCATTGTTCAAATGTTGCCAATACCCCCTCTGGCTTTGTCTCTTGCCTCAGCATTCCCTAACCCGGCAACTGAGTTTTAGTCAATCAAGTTTAAATAGACCTCCCATAGTGGGACCAGGGAATGTACGGCCCAAGATGCCTATAAAACTTTACTTCTGCTTAGTTCTGGTTAGATGAGGTGTATGTGTGGGGGAGGAAATAGAAAAGGTCCTTTGTAAGTCCAGTAAACTGGGTGCCGGGTCTCCCTCAGGAACACAGAGCTGACAGGTAACACAGCAATAAAAGCTGGGCAGCCCTGCATCCTGTAGTGCATGCAGGGGCAAGGGGGTTGAACTGAATGAATTCCCTCCCCAGGAGTTTTGCCCCAGGAGGTGCAACTGCACCCAATAGAGTATCTGGGGGGTGAGCGAACAGGGAACTAGAAACATCCCCTAGGAAATGTGTGCTGCTGTGGTGGTGCAGATGTTATACAATGATCCTTCCCCTCAGCTGCAGCAGTCCTGCTGTAGCCCCGTACACTAAAGAGCAAGGGGCTACCCAGCATCTATGGCTGGGTGACACGGTGCTGTGCCTGGCATAACATGGTGCTGTGCCTGAGTGGTGGGGGTGGGGCAGATGAAATTCTAGTGCCCTCTCTGAGTTGGTGCCCATGTCGGGTGCCCTGCTGTGACAGGTCGTCACTCTGGGCCGCCCTAAAATGTGGCCCACACACCTGTCTCTGGGGCAACCGCCCGCCTACTCGCCTGCCATGCCTTGATCTTAATTAATTAATTAGTATTAATTAGCAGGAGGCTGCCCTTATACTGCCGCACCGCTAGGGGGCGCTATCTGTGGCTCCTCTTCCTCCCCTACACTGCAGTCCACACCTCGCCAATGTAACTCAGGTCTATCACTATTTCAGCCCCTTCCTGTTCTCCCTGGGCCTTCCTTCCTTGGATGCACTCCCTCCGGTGCTAGGGCTCTCTCCAGCCCTATCTCGCTCTGTGTCCTTTTCTCTGGGGCCTTAACTACAATGCTGCCCCCTATCTGGGGCTCACGGTGCCCAACTTGGGCTTCCCAATAATGCTGCCCTCTCCTGGGGCTCTCCTTGCCCACACTGGGACTTCTCAATAATAAATACTGCCCTGTCCGGGGGCTCTCCCTGCCCCACTTGGGCTTCCCACTAACGTTGCCCCCTATCTGGGGCTCGCCGTGCCCAACTTGGGATTTCCAATAATGTTGCCCCCTTTCTGGGGCTCTCCGCACCTGCACTTGGGCTTCTCAATAATGTGGTCCCCTTTCTGGGGCTCGCCGTGCCCAACTTGGGCTTCTCCATAATGTTGCCCCCTTTCTGGGGCTCCCCATGCCCACACTTGGGCTCCTCAACAGCTCCCCCTCTCTGGGGACTCACCACGCCTGCTCTGGGGCTTCTCAGTAGTGCCCCCTCTCTGGGGACTCGCCACGCCTGCTCTGGGGCTTCTCAGTAGTGCCCCCTCTCTGGGGCCGGGGTCTATGTACCCCGTACGCTGCACCCCTACCGGTGCTGGGGTCCCCATGCTACTGTGGGTCCCCTACGAGGCCTCCTCCAACCCCTAATAGCCTCACCCAAACCATCGGTGTAATAAACAACAACAACCTTGAGCCTCCTGGCTAGAACTCAAACATAAGCCACCTAGGTACAACAACATTGCTCCACTCAGGCCAAGCTGTACCTGCTATTAGACTTCTACCCGCATCATTACTCCAGGAGCTCCTACCTCTCTGCCAGCCTGGCCGGGAACTGCCAGCCTGGCCTCAGCCCCTGGGCCTTATGAGGGCCAGGCCCTGCCCCTTCCAGTCAGCTGAACTCCTGGTTGCCCCGGGCAACCCCCGGCTGTGCTCCTTATTCCCTGCCAGGGCTCTCTCCCTGGCAGTTTCCCCTCTCCGGGAGCAGGGCACCTCAGTGCTCTGTGACACCTGCCCTAGTTATGTTATTGCTGTGAGGTAGTGAAAAGAGCCATTCTCTTACTCAGTTATAAGGCCTGATCCTGTAGCCACTACTCTCATGAGTAACTTATGAATAATACAGTTGACGTTAGCAATGTTGATTAGACCTTGAACAACAGTAATAATTAAAACAGCAATATTAACCAAGAGATGCCACACAGTTACTAGAATTCCCTCTTCTAGGTATAGAGAAAAGCAGGGATACCTCAGTTTAGCCCTGCTTGGTACCTGTTGGCTAAACAAAAGCTGGTTTTTAAAATTGTCCACTTTACATACCATTAAAATACAGATTGTAATTATTAATGCATATAGATTATAATGGTATTCTTTTATTGCTAGTATAAGGGGTTTATGCAAAGTAAGCTTTAGGTGTATTAGTTGTATATAGAGAGAGACCGATATAGATATATTTTCACTTTGTGGAGTAGCAAGTATGCTATCCTACTCCTTTTTCAGTGCATCACATATGGTTTTCTTCCTTTTTTATCTACTTAGGTGACCTCTTAGTAAGTCCAGACCAGCCAAAATGCACCATTCCAATAGCTCAGATTGCTCCTGACCTGCTATTGACTGATTTGCCTCGGAATATCATGTTGAACAATGATGAATTAGAATTTGACCAAGCTCCTGAATTTCTTTTGGGTAAATATACATTTTAGTTTTTGCCTAATGTATGGCAGCTTTGTACAAGTTACAGGATTACATTTTAAAATAAACTGGAAACATTTTTAATGCTTTTCCTTTTGTAAAAATCTGTTGTTATTCTAATAAAATATGACCAAATTGCAGGCTTATTTCATGGTTTTTAAATCCCAATAATATGCATCTAAGGGCTGGTTTTGCAGAACAGCCTGCTGGCACACTAGTCTATGCTTTTTTTTAAATCAGACTCTGTCAAATTGGGAAGATTTGCTATAACATTTGTAATACTCCCTTTTATTTTATTCTTGAAAAGGTGACGGTGGGTTTGGATCTGTGTATCGTGCATCTTATGGTGGAGAAGAAGTAGCCGTAAAGATTTTTAATAAGCATACTTCCCTCCGACTCTTAAGACAGGTAAGACATTTTCTCCTTTTTTTAATAATGCAACCAACATAGTGAACCATTTGGCAACATTTAAGAACATCTTTAAGTTTAATATTGAATTTTCTTGTATGGAACACTGCAGAATTATAAATGTTATATAATATGTGCAGGATTTCACTTGATTTTACAATTTACAGGAGCTGGCGGTGCTTTGTCACCTCCATCACCCAAGCTTGGTGTCTTTGCTGGCTGCAGCAATCCGTCCCAGGATGTTGGTAATGGAATTAGCCCTAAAGGGTTCTCTAGATCGTTTGCTTCAGCAAGACAATGCAACCTTAACCAGAACACTTCAGCACAGGATAGCTCTACACATAGCTGATGGCTTACGGTAAACATTCCTAAAATGCTCTTTTTAGCACAGAAAGATGTAGATGGCCTGAAATTAGGAAAACTTTCTCCTTTCTCTTCTTTACCTTTTCCTCTATAGAAGGCAGGGTGCTTCCCTCAGTTAAAAAAGTTGCTATACTTTCACTTTTGAATCGTATAATAAGAAAAATATTCTTTCTGTGGATCCTTGAACCATCATATAAAATTCATTGAACTCTATTAGGTTATTTAGGATTGTTCAAAAACTACAGGAAGGATATCATTTTCTATTAAATTCGTTAGACAGCTATCCATAATGGATTTATTGGTGTGGAGGACAAAAAGAATATTCTGTCAAAGACATTTAGTGGCTTTATAATTTGAGCATCTTGTGACATTTCTAACTGGTATCCTCAAAATTTTAATAAACTATAAGGCCAAATATCACATGTTCTTAATATGCATTATGAGTGGCCTGAAGGAGAAAATGTCAAGAAGTCTAAAAAAGAGAAGTACAGAAGATATTATTTGTTTTGATGTTTTTTGAGGAAGGAATGAACACACACATAGAAAGCATGAAGTGATGTTTTACCAACAGAGCCAGAAACCAGAACACCGCTTGCAGTCTTTCATTTTGTATTTGGTCACTTCTCTGTTTTTACTTCTTTGTTGTATGTGTGTTCCCAGTTCAGAAAGGAGTTTGCTTAAATTCTTGATTTTGCCGTGTGGCTGTGCAGCCCATTAAAAACATTAGACCACGTTCATTTGGCCCATTTTTTCAAATCTGTAAATGTGGAATTGTGATTCTAAAACCACATCTGGCACACACTCTTAGGGCTAGTATAGAGTAAGTGACTTTAATGCTTTTTAATAGACATCTTTCAGGAGGTCTCTTGAACTACAATACCAAATTATTTGTATACTGGTAACTGGTATTTTTTTTTAATAATTCCAAACCCACAATCCATCAAAATGATGCCATCTTGGTTAAATGTGACCTACTGATATCAGAATGGTGACTATTTAAAAGCCTTGTTTACTATAGTATTTATGATACATTCTGTGTATACAGGGTGGTACCAGCCAGGCTCAGCTGTGCGGGGCAAGTGGTGGCAGGGGGCAGGGCTGGGGCGGAACTGGGAGGGGTGGCTACAGGGGGGCTAAGGCACATTTTGGGGTGGCTATAGCCCCTCCCCCCCAAGCCACCCCTGTGTGTATATATGTAATATATACAGATTTTGAATGCTTTCTATGTGTTGACAGGTATCTGCACTCAGCAATGATCATTTACCGTGATTTAAAACCTCACAATGTGCTGCTCTTCACATTGTATCCCAATGCAGCAGTTATTGCTAAGATTGCTGATTATGGCATTGCTCAATATTGTTGCAGAATGGGAATAAAAACTTCTGAAGGCACACCAGGTATAGAAAAAGTGTTCTTGTGAACTTTTGGCATAAATAGTAATGCAAATAAACTGCAGCCTGCATCCCTGCAAACTTTAATACCTGTCCCAAGCCTGCTTCCCATTTTTTCCTTTTACAGGACTTTAATGATACAATATGACCTCAAAAAGAGTGCAAATTGAACTATTTTACTGATTTTAATTTTTTCCTCCATATAAATTTTTGATCTGAACATGCGTTCATTTTTCATGATTTTGGATTTTTTATCATAGGAAATCAGAGTTCCCATTCCCCCTTTGTTTCCCAGGATGCAAGTTCAGATTCAGATGTCCCCCCTGTTGCTTTGCAGTGCAGGACAGCCCTGATATGCCAATGCCCTGTCCCTGCCTATACCATTGCCCTTCACTCCCAAGCCACAGCCCCCCAGCCCTGTTGGTGCCCCTCACTCCCTACCTGCTAGCCCCTGGTCCTACCAGTGATCCTCACTCTCAACCTGCAGGCCCCTGGTCCTGCCAGTGATCCTCACTCCCAACCCACAGGCCCCTGGCCTTGCCAGTGTCCCTCACTCCCAACCCACAGTTCACCACTCCCCAACCCTGCTGGTGCCCATCACTCCTGACCTGTTGTCCCTTGCCCCCCTAGCTGTACTGGAGGGGGCACCCAGCTGCCAGGGCTACAGGTCCTGGCAGCTGCATCCTGCCTGGTCCTTGCTCCACAGGTGCGAGGCACAGCTGGTAAGCAGTGCCTGCCATGTATGGGAGGCAGTTCCTGCTGCAGCCATAACAGAGCATGGAGCCCAGGCCTCGCCTCCACTCTCCCTTGCCAGTGGTGGCACTGCCAGAGTGGAGCTGAGCGGAGCCCATAGGGGGCAGGGGAAGATGCGCTGCAGGGCTCAGGTCTCCCCTCTCTGCGGGGACCTCCACAGCCCAGCAGGCAGGACCTGGCATGGGAGGGTGGGGCAGGGTGGGGAAGTTGGTACCACCACTGCTGCCTCCAGAAGCCTTGTGCTGGCTGCACCTCCATGGCAAAGCACCCTCTGCCTGCCTGGCAGCAATGGAGGTGGCAGCAAAGAACTATGCCCCCCTGCTGCTGCTAGGAAGGGAGAGGGCACCTTGCCTTGGTGGTGCGGCTAGCATGGGGCTCCCAAAGGCGGTGGTGGCAGCAACATCGAGGGTCTCTGCCCTCCTGTTCTGAGTCCTACCTGCTGGGCCACAGAGGTGGGCAAGCTGCAACCCCAGACCTCACTCTGGGCGCACAAATCTGAGGAGGCACGTGCCCCCCATGACTCCCCAATGGGTCACCTCTGGCATCCAACCTGTCCCCAGGTGTGAGCACAGAGGTGGGGAGCTGGCCCCCCTGCCACCTCCCAAATGAGCCACCCATGGTTCTGTCTCACTCCCCAGCCGGGCCCCACAGCCACACATTCCCTCCTGGGCCCTGGGCACCACCCAAGCTAGGCAGCACCCCCAGCCCCTCATGCCAACCTGCCCCACTCCCTCCCTCACTGTGGCTGCCTCGATTTGCACCCTCACTTCCCCTGCATTGCCTCTTCCCCTCCCTGTCCCCCAGGTGTCACCTATAGGCCCCCCTAGACTAACCTGCAGGCAGCTGGGGGATCTGCTCTCCACTGCTGCCTGGCTTTATTGCTGGCCATGTGCAGATGCACACACACGTGCCCGCACACGGTGCCCCCTGCATCCCATTCCACCTATTCCCAAGCAGGCTGGACCTCTGCTTTTAAAAGAGAAAAATCTGTGTTTTTCCACAGCAAATGTAAAACCCAGGTTCCTGGATATTACTAAAATTAAAATTGTAAATAAAATATATACCATATTTACTTGAGTATAAGGCAGCATTGATTATAAGATGACCCCCAACAGTTAGATTCTATATATGGAAAATGTATAAATTTGTTATAATTTTCCAGGTGTAGAGTCTAATTATTGAAGGTTTGCCTTGAATTTGTCCCTCTCCCACTGCCACAGCAGGAAGATAAATTTGGGGCTTAGGTAGCTGCCTTGCCCTCTGTTCCCCAACTTTTCCTCTATAGCCCTTTTTTTATTGTCAGACTGCTCTCCTTGAGCACATGGATGTGAGAAGCAAATTTGAAAACAGTGACCTAGAAATAAACATACCTACAGTCACTTGCATATTGGGCAATTACCATAGGTACCCATAGACTTCATTCATCCAGAATTGATGCAATTCACCTCTTTTGAAACTGCAGCTAGTTTTAGCTCAGGTACTCCATAAACATACGTTTAAGTAGAACTTCTTTACCTGCTTGTATATATTACAATTATTGTTTAAAAAAATTCATTTCCAGGGCCAAATCCATTCCAAATTAAGTTCCAAATTTCTACTCAGCAGAGCTTAATCATTCAAGTCTGTATGGTGCTACCACCGGCAAGTAATGGCGCTACCACCACCTACTCTCACTTGCCTCTAGCCAAAGGCTGAAAGAACAAGTTAGGGGGAAAGCCGAAGAGCAAAGCCCCATCACCAAAAATAACAATTTTTTTTTTAAATGTTGTGTCTCAGGCCAAATCTGTTCCAAAATCTGTTGACTGAGCAGAGCTCAATCATTCAAGTCTGTCTGGTGCTATCACCTCCTGGTATCCTACCTACCAGACTCTTCAGCCTGGGGCTTCAGATATTCCCAAATCCATGGCAGGCACCCTACATGCGAGCCTTGGTGTTTAGCTGCCCCCTAGTCTCGCTTGCCCCTAGCAAGAAGGCTAAAGGAGCAAGCTAAAGGGATTTTTTTTCCCCAAAGCCAAGACTCATGAATTACCATATAGCTCATTGGGCTGGGCCTCAGCAGAGACAACACCGTTTCAAGTCACAGTGACCCCACAGCTCAGCAGTGCTCTGTATGTGTGTGTGTATGCTTCAGATATCCCCCACAAAGGATCTATGTGCTAATTAACCCCTATTCATGACTGGAACCAGGTGTTCTTGTCATGAGTCCTGGAGTCCTCCAAAAATTGATGTGCAGATGAGGTGCAGAATAGCAGTTCCACTTTATGGAGGGCAGAGCCACACTAATCATATGCACCAGGCTGAGAGGGCAACAGAGGGATTCTGGGTAAACTGTTTTGGGCTCCATTCAGTGATGTTTGCCAGACATTTAAGGAGACTTGCCCAGTGGTAGAGCCACACAGACTTAAACAATTGAGCTCAGCTCAGTTGATTTGGAATTCAGAACTAATTCAGCCTTAAGCCAATAAAGGGGGGTGGGTTCCCATCAGTATGTTTGCTCCATATTGGCCATGTGTTTTATAGTCATGCTCAATATTGGCTGCATTTAATCAGTTTAATCAGAGGGCATGACATCAGTCACCACATATCAAGCCCTGAGTTAAGACTTCCAGACTTTCCCTTCTTTTTCAGTATTAATCTAATAGTACAGGAGCTTACTAGCTGCCTTACAGCTTAGTGCATTTGTACTGTCCTGGTATCTTCTGTGACTTTCAGCATGTGGACCACTGCCAGTTCAGAAATAGCATGTAATTTTCAGTTAGCTTCTTGTGACATTTTTCATCAAGAAGTATTTATTCTTAAAAGGACAGACAGGACTGTAGCCTGGCATGGATCATAACTATTAATGAATGATTCATTTTTCAGGATTCCGAGCACCGGAGGTTGCCAGAGGAAATGTTATTTACAATCAGCAAGCTGATGTTTATTCATTTGGCTTGCTTCTTTATGACATTTTAACAGCAGGCGGTAGAATAATGGAAGGCATGAAGTTTCCAAATGAATTTGATGAGTTGGCAATCCAGGGAAAATTACCAGGTATGTCATGTTTCTTCATGGTTTAGTGCCAGAGAATAGAGATTGCCATCCTGACCCATGGAACCCATGCATTGAATGTTGTTTCTGTTGCTGGTCTTCAGTGGATGATGCAATGCAACAGTGAGAAGTTTTTAAAATATTTTAATAATTATTTGCGGTTTTCAGCAGCTCTAGGCTTGGAGACATTGTCCCACATCATCCCTACTGTATTGTATTGGAGATAAAACAGGTTGTGGGATCAGGTTGGTTCATTGTGTAAAGAAAACGGGGATTATGTACACTTGTCATTAAATTAGACCAGGTGAATCGAAGAACTGTAGTCTGCACCTTTTTACACCAGGCCTGAAGAGATGTTTGTATTATGATCATGATGCACAAAAAAAAAAGGGGGAAGCAAAAATGGGAAGATGTTTATAAAATTTTAAAATCTTAGGGTATGTGTAGATGAAATAGGGGCCCTAAATTGAAGTGGTGGGTTTTAAAAAACACCACTTCAGTTTAGGGCTGATTAAATCCCCATGTCATGCAAACACCCCGCTGACTTACCTGCCTCTCTGGTGGGGGAGGGGAGGGCGAGCTGCCAGCGGGCAGAGCGGTCCCTGGGCTGCAGGGGTGGGGGATGGTGCTTCCCTCTGCAGCAGCGACAGCCCCCCCCCCCAACGCCGGCACCCACCCACAGGCAGGAGATCAGGCTCTCCACTTTTCTTGGGCAGAGACTGCTTTCCCAAGCTGCTGCCAGGCTGCCTGCAGGGCTTTCTGCAGTTCCTGCAGAACTCGAAAGAGTTATAGTATGCTGCACCCCTAGTAATTTAAGGCACATTACGCTGCTGAATTTCCTACAGCAACTGGAATTAATGCTCAGTATGCCGCCAAGGTGTGCAAACACCAACACCACTAAAGCGGAGCAAAAGCATTTAGCCCGCTTTAAAGTGTCGTGCACACGCCTCTTGTTTTGTCTACACATGGCCTTAGTGTCATTCTCTGGCAAGGAGTCAAGTCTAGACAATGAGAACAGGAATCCATATTCACTGAGGAAAGTTTTGGCTGCTGTGGAAGACTCTGCCACCTTCTTAGAAAAGATCCCTT